TTGAAAATTTGAAATTCATGAACCAGCATTAAATGTATATTCAAACATGGAAATACCCTTACAAAAATGAAATTCCATTTAGCTTTCGCTCGTCCAGAAATATCGCCGATTTTTTAATTCTCATAATAGCCAATGGTTAAACAATAAATGGGAATGAATCCTTGAATTGCCTCATAAAAGGTCCTCTGTGTTGAAAACCCCCACACTCTTCGATCTCGAAATGTAAACAGTACAATTCCCCTGTTATTTGTTTTTAAAATTATTAAAAGATGAAAGCCAATACCTTTAATTACAAATACAAACGTTTGTCATCCTGAATAATGCGAGAAATCGTGAAACATTTTTAACTATAAAATGTAATAATAATGTCAACCGATTTCTCAAACTCAACCAATTTTGATATCTCGTATTAACGCGAATATAATATACATTTGAAATATATCTATTACATACGTATTTTATCTTTTTATAATACCTACTTTTAATTGTGTAAAAAATTAATAGGTGAAATAAAAAAGTATTTATTTCTCAATTTGAAACCAGAAGAGTTTTCACATTATGAAAACGAAAAGCTTAAGATGCTATAGAAAATCCTTCCTTTTTTAATTATATTCTTTTATAACAAATCTGAACCCTCTTAAATTATTTCCTTTGTTCTTAAATAACCTTAAGGTGTGCCTCATATGCATAATTATGGTGTGTTGATGCTGTTTTGTCATACCAAAACACAATTATGTGTCTTAGTATTACCAATTCTAGGCGCGTTATCCGGAAGTTAAAGTTCGAATTCTTACAGCCTAAATATTTTAAAGTTCTAATAGTCATTAAAGAAAATGCGATTACCGTAGTGGACTGGAACAATATTCAAAGAAAAATAGTTCGTAGTTTCGGTTAACGTTTCAAAATACTACACATTAGAGCGTACTATAGACTTTTAAACCAGGTCTCGCGAACCTAGTGTTCGTGGGTCATTTTATGAGACTAAAACAAAACTTTCACTTACATAAAAGCTTTTGAAGTCATATATGTGTTAAAAAATTCAATACTTGGCTGTTTCGATAGTTGAAGGTGTAAAAAGGCATCCTGGGATATGGTTCGGAGTTACTTCACGTATATACCATTTTTGTTTCATCATACATATCTAGTGCTGTCAGTAGAGAACACCTTGTGTTTAAAGGAAATTTTTTGCAATGGAAGTGAAAGTGGTCAATATATGACCATAGTAATAAACCTCACCATAGTATTGCAAGCACGTACCAGTGAATGCCATAATGAATAGGAGGAAAGGATGTCATAAATGCAAATGCATCAGGACAATTTAAAATCTTAAAAAAAAATATCAAAACGATCGTAAAATACGAGTAGTCAGAATTAATTATTATTTTATTCAAATCGTATTCTAAACTGCAGAATGCAATATTAAGAGTTTAAAAAAACTTTGCTAAGCTGCCATGACTTTCTTCGCCATTGCGTTCGATGAAGCTTTAATAGTCTCAGGACTGAAAGCGTTAACATCAATTAATACAAGATACAAGATTCTTCGCCATATTTTAATATTAATATTTCAAAGCAATAATCCCTTAATCGCTTATCTGAAATAAGAATAGAAGTAGAATAAAATATAATGGGTACTGAAATAATTGAGCTCTTAAGGTTAACATAACATACACAATTACTGTTTCGGAATGCTAACGACATTCTTTAAAAATGCGTTTACATTTTAATACTCATACATGAAACATACAAAAGGAAACACAAAAGTGTTTTAAGCACAATAACATATTTTTAAATATAAAGCTACTTTATGATTGCTTTTAATATTCGTCGGAAAGTTTATGGTTCTGTTCGTATTATACCGTACATTTGACACAATAAACACTACTGGCACTACAGTCTTTATTTGACAAATTTGAGACAATACCACAGACGGTCTACATTTAATAACGGAGATTAAATAATTTCAAAATAAGATTATAATAGTAGAATAATGTAATATATGAATACAGACTCGAACATATATATCATTCATTAACATACAATCAATGATTTTAACGCATATTTATACCGCATATGTCATATTTTTTATGATTCAATTTAATGTTTTCATGTGAGAAGTGGCAAGCGAGCTGGCGGTTCATTGGCGCCGCACCATATGGACATTTGCAACACCCGTAGGGTTGCAGATGCATTGCCACATTTTAGTAAAGTGAGCCCCGGCGTCCTCTATCACCGGACGAAGCGCTGAAGAACACTTACACTTGACGCCGGTCTTCTATGAACTTCTGTCTAAGAACCGAAGAACACTTACACTTCAGGCCGGTCTTCTATGAACTTCTGTCTAAGAACCGAAGAACACTTACACTTCACGCCGGTCTTCTATGAACTTTTGTCTAAGAACCGAAGAACACTTACACTTCACGCCGGTCTCCTATGAGGTCGTGGTTCTTACTCGGACGGACCTGCCCATTCGTGCAACAGCGAATACTGTTGCGTGGCCCGTGACCGTTAAATTCGTCGGTCAATATAGGTTCAAAAAATATAATTTACAGCCGCAATAAATTAAGCGGCATTAAATTTATATATTTACCAGCCTTTAATAATTCAATAAAATCATAGTCAACCAATCTTCTTTTATACAAAAATGGATTGCTGTTCGTTAGTCTCGCTAAAACTTGAGAACGGCTAGACCGATTTGGCTAATTTTCGTTTTGAAATATTTGTGGCTGTCCAGGGAAGGTTTAAACGTTGAGAAATTTTGTAAAAATTGCATGGAAAGTCGCAATAGTAACAATTTTCTTCTCCTGTACAAACTCTTCCTACCTGTCAAATATTTTATGCGTGTGTTCCGAAAATTCTTTTTCTACTCGTTCAGATTCACAAATTCCGTAGAAATAATTTATATGGAAAATAAACCTTTGCCGGGTCATCTAGTATGTAATAAATATGTAGTCCACAAAGGAACCCCACTGAAGATTGGCAGACTTTAGGTTATATATACCTTTATATATACCTTTTAGAAATATTTTTTTATTATTATTTCGAAACTATGCAGCTTTCCTCATGAAGGTTTCCTTCACCTCTGAACACGCGATAATTCTGCACATAAAATTAACAATTTCATTGGTGCTGGCCCGGACACTAAGCTACAATCAGGGCTGCATAAACCAACGAAATAACCTCACACGTATAATAAAACAGAAATTCACCTACGTTCTTCTTATCTTTTTCTACCTTGTTTATATTAATATATAAACAACGTAGAAAACTACTGTTAGAACTAGAATTTCGAGTCTATTTCAATTTAGAAATAATGGGAAATTTATGTAAATAAGATCGTGTTTTGTCTTTTTTTTTTCAACATAGTACCTTTACCGTATTTTAAAAAAATGTCTGATATTCAATAATTTACCCTTATTATCTTGGTATATAATTAGCAATGTACCAAGTCGTTCACTCAAGACGCCTTCAATAGTTTCTAACGAGCGTCGATTTTCATTAACTGGAATTATAAAGTTGCGTTAAGTGCTGCGGCCTACTTGAACAATATTCCAAGATAATAACCATCATTCATAATCTCGCGAGAGCGTTGGAAAACAAATGCGTATTTTTGTACCAGCCTAGTTACCTGAATTAACGTTTAGAACATCCAACTTGTTTACTGTTATCTAATTAACTGTCCTTATCCATATCGAGTAGACAAAGAATAATATTAGTACCCAGTTTTCCCCAATGTTAAGAAGTGTTAAAAGTGTAAATGATGAACCTACGCCAGACAATTTGAGAGTATATAAGAGTATATCGTATCTAAACGCAAAATAAATCCGATATTATACATTTTCACCAATCAAATTCAAACATGACAAGTCAAGTTAATATTAATATAGAAAAACATAAAGTCAGTACAGAAACAAAGCATATTCACTCTAAGGCGCTGTCGTTAAATGTATGCAGTATTGCATATCTTGCATGGTCGCGAATTGTTAAACTCATCAACGACGAAGAAGTTAGGTGCGGCTGCGTTATCGCCTCCGCAGGCAAAAGCGCCTTGTCGTCGGTAATTGGGTGTCCGGTACTCATATCACAACATACGAAACACTGCTACAACATGTTTCCACTCAATGTATTGACGGCTTGATTAACTATCATTTTCACAGTGTACCCTATCACCATATATTCGGTTAGCGTTGTATACGCTTAAACTAAGTGCAACACCTTGTAATATTTCAGTATAGATGAAATATATTGCGTTCATTTAATATTTAAGTACTTATAAATCAAAAAGTCTAAATTGGACATCGCAACAGGCAAGACTAGTATTTTATTGGTAGTTGATGACTTTTCTAATTAACAATGAAACAGTTTCAAAGAATGAAGTAAAATATCCAATACCTCGGAAAACCTTGCTAAAGTCAGAAAATAGTTTCTCGTTAAAAAAGTAACGATTGCGAATGTTGGTCCTTTGAATAAGCTTCAGAATAATGATACCTCCGATTAAAGCCAGATAAACCGCGATCTTATTTATGTTTGCATTTGTCTCGGGAATTCGCTTCCAGGAAAAACGATACAAACATTTAGAAGCCCCGTTAGAGTTTTTTGTTTTTTCATATGATTTGCAAAATCAAAAGAGTTATTGAAAGTAATTTAAAAAAGTTACTTTGAGTAAAACAATTAAATTATAAGCATTTATATAATTTTATTGCAATTTTTATTTTCTATAACAACTTTGCAGTGTTTTAAAAACCAGAAATTTTATAACCTTAGAAATAAAATTATTGTGTTATAAACAGTTATAGCCTTATTAACAAATATTGCGATAACTTTGTCGCAACATTTCAATAATATGAGGCTTAGCTTATATAGGTATTATTAAAAGCGTTATATTTGTTAGGTCTAGACAAAGGCACTATTAACAGTTTAATTAAATCTAAATATAGCACATATAGCTATATAATATAAATATACATAGTTTAACGTTAAATAGTTCACACGACTGTACTCACCTCTATGGTGCCGGACTCGATGGTGCGAGATCGGCCTGCAGCAAGGCTGTTCTTGGAAGGCGGTCCACGAGTCTGCCATCGCTGACCAGAGCATGGCCATGAGCATACCACCAATCCAAAGTTCGCCACCCATCCTGACCAGTTCTACCTACGCGGGCACATTCAGTTGCAACACACGACCCGGCCGCCCGTCATCCGACGACAAAATCAAAACCCAACTATTGTATGTGTGTGTCAAAATCAACAAACAATACCGGAAAACTTCAACAGTGTTGGTCTGTTTACGTTACGCACCCAAATCTAGAGTCGCGTAGAGGACGCGTCCGTTCAAATCATTCGTGTCGAACCACTCGACATCCAGTGATTAATCGCCGGGGTGAAACAGGGCCTGTTATCTCGCATCGAGTCGTGATCCGCTCGCGGGGTTACTTTGTTCGGTGCGCTTTATTTATTGGCCCGGGAAAAGTAGCGACGCGATCGCCGGAGCGCGGCTGTCGGGCGGGCGAATCGACGTGTGCCACCGACATCGCAGCGACGTAGACTAAATCGGACTCCGCGGGTCGGCCGCAGACTGGGTGCTTTGGTGCCGGCACGCACGCTGTACGAGACAACGGCTGAACGGAGCGCGCTTCTGCACCCCGTCGTGTATCCTTCATGCAAGACGAAGACGGCACACAACCGAAACGGCCGACTGAAGCTAGAAAGAAGCTTGCGCTGCCCTATTCGTTTAAGGGAAAGTTGTAAGTTAAAAAGTTTCGATAATTCGACCGATTCGTTGCCCTCCTCGAGGGGGAGATTTGACTACGCAGTGACCCTCGGTGTCATTACGAACATATTGTAATGAAGGGGATGCACTGTATAAAACGTAGTAAATTCACCTAATTTATGTTTTCGTTAGGATACGCACGAGGAACTTTTATGTTTGTGAGCACGCGAAAGGAAGTTGGCAGTTTATTTTTCTCTATATATGTTTAATAATATGCTTCTTGGTATGTACGAGTCACGTGAATGTGCCGTAAATTATTGACGGAATTCTAAACAAGTCGTTACCACGTCTACCGTGAAATAATTCAGGCTAATTTATTTTGAACTTATAAACGTGAACTATACTAACTACATTAAGCTAAGAAAAGATAAACAGGTTAAACCTTAGACTTCACCAGATGTATTTTAACTCACTTAAATCGATGAAGTATATATAGTGGCTTTATACAGATTCATCCCAGTACCACTGTATTAAAGACGAAAGTCCGAAAATGATTTTCAAGGATTAAAAAAATATGTTTATACGCATACTATTAAAGTTAACTGCGTAAGGCTGACAAAGCAAAGCGGGTAATAAGCTTTATCAATTACTCATATTCTCTGTTCCCAGGAGACGACCCTTGCCCTTTATTTGTACCACATTGTGGTTTTTCATAAATATTTATCCTCGATAAATAATTTTAACGTAACTTTTAATACATTAAAGTTATACTATTCTTTTATTACAGACAAATTAACTGCTTCTTCTTAATTAATAATTTTTGTTTAGACGTTTGTTCAGTAATTGATTAGATATACAAATTACTGTACTACGAAACCCTTTCCACTATTGATAAAAATAACATTACAATATGACAGTACAATAATAAACAGTTTCAAATAGCGGAGTCTTAGTAATCGGGTTCCGTACCCAAAGGGTAAAACGGAATCCTATTACTAAGACTCCGGTGTCTGTCTGTCTGTCCGTCTGCTCCCAGGCTGTATCTCATGAACCTTGATAGTTAGACATTTGAATGATGTATTTCAGTTGCCGCTATAACAACAAATACTAAAAAACAGAATAAAAAATATTTAAGTTAGGCTCCCATACAACAGACATGATTTTTTTGCCGTTTTTATAGATAATGCTACGGAACACTTCGTGCACGAGTCCACTCGCACTTGGCCGATTTTTGTTCACTTTCTTTGATTAAAAGGTAAAATCATTCCATATTGAATTTTAACAAATCTTGAAAGTATTAATATCTATTTGAATTAAAGGAATGTAACTTTAATTAAACTTTAAGATTCATCTAAAGTTCATAAGTAATTAACGCTTAATGTATTCTAATCTTCATAGTTACCACATTCTCGAAGGCATATCGCGAAGAAACGCCTTGTTTTATACATACATTTATGCTTCATAATTACGAACAAAAATATTAAATGTTGTTACCAACCACAACATATTAATGCGTCAAAAAACTATTATCAGTTTAAATGTGGGTCTGGGTTATCTGGGAAATCTCTAATCTATTCTGTAAATCTTAGCCAAATTTTTCAGTCATTGGTAACACAAAATTTAAAGAAACAATATTCATGTTTGTAACGCTGACATCTTGCATCATTAATAACATAAGTAGTAGAAGGTTAGGTTCAACTTTCTACAAAATTAAAAAGTATGAACATTTGAAACTTGGTATCGCATCTGTGAGGCGGGGAGATCTTTAACATAGCCGCCCCATTTTCATCATTGCTTGAAGTTTTTCAATAAAAACTTTCGACGGCATTCGATTTACATACGGCGTGGATTCATTTATTTTCCGAAAAGATTTCTCGAGTAAAAACGGTTGAAGGTTCGATATCCATTAAAGGAGAAAGGTCCTGGCACTCATCGGGTCGGCCGACGCGGTACCGGCCTATCGCCTCTCCAATTTCAATATTTTATATATCGGCCCGAACGCGGCACGTCTTTCAATCACTAAGGTCACTATTTAAATTTTTGATAGCAAAAACATACATTAACATAAGTCTCTTTAGATTAAATTGATTTGGTTGCTGTTTGACTTCGTCTTAAAACATTTATATCTTGCATTTTGTGAAATACTTAAATTATAACTGTCTTCTACTGATACTTTCAAGGCAAATTCTTCAATAGAATCATATATAAAGTGATAATGATTTCAGTAGAATATTGATAGTCATTCTGGCAAGCTCAAGTAGCAATGGGCTGAATACATAACCGAAGAATCGACGACCATTCAGATAAAAGTTTCTCGAGTACAGGCAAACGTTGTGTACGCGGACCTACGAGATGCAGTAAAGTGAATAAATGTTTTGTGACTATTTTTGGCCTTTCTTTTTAATGTGAAAAGTTGGTAAGCGAGCGATGATTAACCTGATATTAAGTGAGTACCGCCGCCCATGGACATCTACTAGACCTGACGGATTGCCAACCATTGAAAGTGTGGTAGGGCTCCGCAACAGTCTTCGCTGTTGCACGAATAGGCAGGGCTTGTCTAGGAAGTACCACGACCTCACAGGAGACTGCCGTGAAGTGGAAGTGCTATACTTCTGCGTTTCATCTGGTGATTGAGGTAATCAAAGCCCACTTAATTAAAAACTGGCAACGTATCTATATGTATACCAAATGTCCATGGGTGATGATTATACGTAAAGGACACACTTAACATCAGGTATACCGCCAGCTCACTTGCCATCTTCTTACCTCACTCACCAGTGTATGTTATACTCTCACTTCACGACCGTCTTCTGTGAAGCCGTGGTACTTCCTCAGAGGTGTCCATTCTTGCAACAGCAGAAACCGCTGCGTAGCCCTACCACGGAAAAATTTAAAAGTGGACTAGAAAAGTGACCTATTTACAAAAGTGGACTTGACATATTATAATGGTAACGATGATAGTTTATTCCCCATTAACTTATACAGTAAAAATAGTTAAACCTAACTAAATATTCGTCCTCATTAAAACTACAGAGACATTCATCATCGTAAACATTTTCGAATACCGAATACACGAACTTATTCGTGGCCTGAAAACATCAAATTCGACCCCAGCAGGGGGTCCTGTGCTCCTTTTAGCGCTATACGAGTACAATAATTCCAGCGTAAAACAGAATAACACGCACATTTAGTCGTAAAGTGTGCAGTATAAACAGAGTATAAAGTTGCGCTGAGCTTAATACATTCAATTTGTTTTCAGCGGCGGAGCGGCCAATCCCGCCATAATTGTGCAACGATAAACAATGCAACAATGATCACGGATGCCGCTTGCGTTCGCAACATCAACCTACAATCATTTAATACCACTCAAAACTCAGTGTATAAACAATTCATTTGTGTTTCAGTGAGCGGCGTTATTGTTTCTTACATTATCGTGTGCGTATTGCAAGTAAGAATATTTTTTTATTGCGGACAAAAATTTAGATTCTTTTATATCAATTTAGATTTATTTGATGAACAGAATATTTCGGTGCTGCTGGTTCAACCAGCGTCTTCCGGTTAAGCAAGCGGCCTCATGGAGCGAAAATCTCGACAACTACCCTGCATTTTAGAAACGCCTGGCGTGTGCATACTTTTGTATGAAACACTATTTGTTAAAAAACCAACCGTCAGTAGTACAAGTGTAATAAACCCGTTGCTTATCGGTCACAATCGCCCGCTCGTAACTCGGAATTAAGAACCAGAAAACCTATTTGTAACGATGTTATGGGTCGGCGTTTAAAACGTTGATAATGTCATTACGCAGTTGGCGAGAAATTTACAATATTTTTTTCTGTGTGCGCCCGATCGCACATTGTTCGGAGATTGGATCATAACTGGTGAACTCTCTTTATGCAACATAAATCTTTCCACTTCTTACCCGTAAACAATACTAATATTGAAGAAAACCAGTTTATTCGAATCGTACTACAATGTGGGTGTCATAAAAGATCTCGAAATAGTATTTTACTAAGTTGTGCGCTTACAAATATATTGCAACTTGCTAGCCAGTGAGCAAGTACTCTGTGGATAATTAACGAAACTATTTTATTTAGTCAAAGTTTTTCGAAATGAGGTTTATTTCTTTTCTTATCTCTTATAAATGAACTTTTTTTATTCGTTTATTTTATTTTTCGTCGCTGAATAAAATATTCCTCTTATACATATAAACATAATAAGTCATAAACTTATTCAGTATACTCGTATATCTCCAAGAACTAGTTCGGTTTGTTACAATGTGACAAAGTTTTACTCAAATTTATAGCAAACAGTTTTATCGTAGGGTAAGCGGATTTGTCGTAACTTATATTGAAATAGATTTTATGGACTAGTATTTTATAATATATAAGCATTACTAAGACTCCGCTGTCTGTCTGTCTGTCTGTTTGTCCGTCTGTCCATCTGTCCGTCTGTCCGTCTGTCCGTCTGTCCGTCTGTCACCAGGCTGTATCTCATGAACCGTGATAATTAGACGGCTGAATTTCAATTTATTTCTGTTGCCACTATAACAACAAATACTAAAAAACAGAATAAAATAAAAAAAAATACTTAAGCCCACTTAACCATACAACAAACGTAGGTACTTAACAATTAGTTTATCATAGATAATGGTAGGGAACCCTTCGTACGCGAGTCTGATCGCACTTGGCCTGTTTTTATATAGCCTCTTCGGGAAGTCGACGGTTACTGGTTGCTCAGGATCGTGATTCCCGGCAGTCGGTCGGGGAGACCTAAGTTCAGCAGTGCACTTGAACAGGCTAAGATAATGATAATGAACGTCTTTCAATAATGTTCAATAGAATATTTTATGATCTTAACATAAATAGAAATAATATACCAACTTATACTTCAGCATTAACAAACAGTTGTACTTAACAAAAGTATTATTATTATTGTTTAATTTAATATATT